ATAAAATGTACTTCGTTCGAAAAACACTCATTTTTATAATACGAACGAATTTGTTGGTAACGTTGAAAACATACGTATCGATCGTACCTTCTTATTTGTACTCGCTTGAACTAGTTGTTTCTCATTTCAATTATCGCATTTCTCGCGTGGTTAAATAAGAAAGAAATAATCTTCGAATTGTTCCCTTTGTGTAACTTTTCTTGTAATTTTACGTTCCCCAACCAAAAATGTACATTTCTTTTTCCGCAGAATTGTAAAATATAATAATATTCCTCTCAGCTATACCGACCTTGTATTATTTCGCCTCGATGAATTGGATATTTTCTGAAATTGCATCGCATCGAATTAATTTTGAAATATGATGGAATCGACGAGAGAGTATCGAGAGGATCGCATCATGTAAATTGGGTCTAGCCAATGATAGAGCAAGATCTATTATTTTGACAGATGTAATTTCTGCTCGTTTTCCAGACAGTTTGGTCGGTCGTCTCCCGGAAAATGCAGCCACGGATTGCGGTCACCGTGTAAAATAAATAATCCCCAGAGTTTCTCTTCCGTTTCTCGTTCCGTTCCGCTTCGCGTGTCCCGTGTCTGTTACGTTTTTTTACCGTGATACCGTCATCTCGTTACATCGTTCACGTTTATCCGCCCTCTCTTTCATACGTCCCAGGGTGTAATATGCCTTCTTTGAAAAGTTGTTTGCTCGTCGTAGAAAAATATTTTCACGACTGTAAAAGAATTATCCTCGTTCGAAGGTAGGAAGAAACGATTAAATAGATTTAGCTTTTTGACGACACGATTTCGTGCAATAGATTTTTATATCAGCTCTATTTAAAAAATCTCTATCTCTTTTTATGAAATATTCATACCGCTATTACCGATTCGATCGTGATTTAAAACGATGCTTTCTCGAGTTTTCGAAGAAAATCGTTAAAGAAACGAAAAATTTTGAAATTTTCGAAAACTGATGAAACTTGCACGATTATTTACCGCGTAAGTCAGTACCGGCAGTTGTTGCACAGTTCGCAATCTTGTCTTCTTGTTTTCTACAACCATTTCTCGAAGTTTGATTATATATACGTTGCGTGCAACTTGCCGGCATGAATAATTGATTTCTCATCGTTACATCGTTAGATCTGCTGACGATTAGATTTCGCCCGCTAAAATTGAAATTATCACGACGAAATTTAAATCGCATTAGAATTCGTTTATTAATTCACCGCTCTCTCCTATCATCTCGCGTAAATTATAATATTTTTCTTTTTTATTTAAATGCTTGTTTATTCGATGATAAAAAAAAAAAAAGAAAACCTAAAAATTGGTATCACAGATATTGTATAAAAGGACCCGTATAAAAGGTACGGTGATGATAAATTGGTTAAAATTGCTCGATTTTCTCCGTCGTTATACGCGAGGAGAAGAATTTTTCCAATTTTTAGTTCTTACTTTCTCGTTCGAAAGGGTGCGATTCATTTTCAATACTCGAAGATTAAACCAAAGTTGCGAAAAGTTTCAAAAGCTGGCACTTTTCCAATAATCAGGGTATTTATACTTAAAAACGAAAAGTAGAGGCTCGAGCTAAGTAAAGTATCTTAAACTTTTTTATGCTTCGCGAAATCCTGCAACACGTTCGAATCCAATCACGATACTTCTTTCTAATACTTTTCCATTTACGATATAAAATAAAAAATCAAAAATGGAGGTTTCGATTTTTCTGCGTATAAGATTCGTAAAATTCGTATCGAGGTTTAACCAAATATTTCGATCATCCTTTCATCATTCGATCGATATTGCAATAAATCTTATTCCCTGGTTTTAGTGCTTATTAGTTGGGAAGTGTTCATTATCTCGAAACGGGTGAGAGTCCAACTCATTGTCAAGCATAACGATGTCATTGTGGACAAGTTTCTTGGTCTAAGACCTTGTCAAACTTGGACGTGTTCCCAATGAGTTCCTCGAATTCTCGAAACGTTGAAGCAAATTCCAATTCCCAAGACTCGTATTATCTCGTGTTTGATCTCGTTAACTAGAATCGACTGGATAAACATATCGAATTTTTTTTAAAAATAAGCGTGTCATTTTGTATATTTTTTTTTTTTACACGCAAAAACGAAAGAATCGATGTATCATCCGTTGAAAGGGATGAATTTTTCTTTTTTTTTTTTCAAATATATCGTAACGTATAAAAAGTAATAGCTCTCGAGAAAAATATTGCAACAACCAAGTCGTTTCTCTTTAAAAAAAAAAAAAAAGGGGGGGAAAAAAATATCTGTTCACGACGTATATCACGCTGGTGAATCAATAACTTTCAAGACTTCTGCACCAGCTTTTTGCGCTAACACATTTACGAAGTCTGTTGCGCGGCTTTAATCGAGAAAATCTGCATAAATATGCATGGCATCTCATATGCATTCAGCTTGCATTAAGAAAATCGGATATGAATATGCGTCCCTCGACAAACGTTAAGTTTCTTCAACATCTCTGATTAACTCGCGGATCCTTTTAATCTAACGATAATGGCCGCCGTGGACGCGACCGCCATTTTCGAAAAATTATATTTTTCGAAAAATCTCTCTGCCGAAGCAACGAATAATGAAACTGAAAAAAAATCGCGTCTTCTTCTCAAAAAAATTTCCATTCGTTTCACGCTTGTCGAATGTCGCAGATTGTTTTCAATATCTTTTCTGGAACGGTCCCGCTGCGCTCCGTCGATCCGCCATTCTTCTTCTTTCACGGATGCAATATCGAACAATTTAATAAAAGAGTGGCCCGTCTTCTCTGTTTCACCATTTGAATAGCGTAACTCCCCTACAAAAGAAACTTCGAAACAAAAAGGGAAGGGGGAAGGGGGGGGGGGGAATGGCATCGATGAAACTACTCGCCCTGGGTCGGATATAAACTTTCATATTAAATCCCTCTATCTCTCCAGTTTCTAAAATATTTATCCTCACATCTCTCCAACTTCAAAAATGATTCCGAAATTTTTCCAAAGGTTTCCAAACGTACGTACGTGCGAACGAGAAATGCACTCGATTCGTCACGATCGACTTATAACGTATATATACGAATATTCATATAACCACCGTTCGACCAATAAAATTTCGTTCCTGACAATCTGCCTTAACAAATGGTGAAACGAATAACGGAAAGCCAAAAAGGCTCGGCAACGTCGTAAATGATAAGGCGCAACGACAGTGACGAATAGGGTTTCGCGAGTAGTAGTTTCGCGAGCTTTCTGCTTCGGTTGCAATCCCGCATCGCGGCAACGCACTCGAACCGTGCTGTCGTCCGCACGGTACAGACCAATTCCGATAGGCGATCCATTATCTTAAGCGGCATCCGCCCAATCGATTCGCGCCTCCTCTCTTTCCAACCAACCTATCGTAAAATCTCCTCCCCCTCCTCTTCCTTCTTCTCCTTCTTTTTCTCCTCCTCTTCGTCGTTTTCACTAACCGTTATACTTTTTTTCAATTGGCTTACGAGATATTAACCGCGTCATTCGTTCGAGAATATTCGAATTCCAATCGTTAGAAAGAACGATCGAGAGGAAATTTCTCTTCTCGAAAAAAGATTGTTTTGAGTTTTGAAAATAGAGTTGGAAAACGATATTCTATTCTTCATTTTTTTTTTTTTTTTTTAAATTATCCATAATTTATATTTATTTTCCTTTGTTTCTTTTTGTCCAGAAACTTTCCGTTGAATTGTCGTTAGTTAGATGATCGTATTACCGAGTTATGTCAGCTGGCCGTTTGAAACGGCCCTGAAACAGGACACCACCGAGAGTCAGCGAGAGAGAGAGTAAGTTTCCCAATTTGAGAGTATGCCGGTGGTCGTCGTCGAGCCATAAATTAAATTAAAGGCGTGGACGACATTCTGCGGAGAGAAAGGTTAGAAAAGTAAAAACTGGTAAAATTCGATTATCCAACTTTCCGTGGGATATCTTTTCTGTTATGACGAAATGGACGAAAGGAATTGATAAGACGAGCGATGAAATATTATTTTGACTATTTGCGAATCTAGATTAGATAGATTCTTGATAGATTAAAATTCAACGTGTTGAGTTTATAGTTTAACTCGTATTTTATTTATTTATCCTTTTGCGCTCGAGAGACGAGGCGTACAAATATATTCGAACAATCTATACTTTTCATATTTGTAAAATATAATCGTTTCGAAGTAATGTATATTATACATTAAAATTTTAAATCCTCTTTTTAAACGTTGTTTACAAATTAAACAAAATATATAAGCAGAGAATTAACTGATTATCTATCTGATTATCTATCAATTATCTATCTTATATTATAATAATGTATTTATTTGTATGTATCATTGTTTACTTATTATATTTTGAAGAAATAAGCGATAATAATATTCCCTAACTTTAGTTGACAATTTCTTTATTCCTTTCAATTATTTTTCAATATTTGTATTTTTATTTATTTTTTATATATCGATTATTATATATTTTCTTTTTTATTTTATACTAATTAAATGCAATGTTAATTTTTCTTATATCTTTAGTTACATTTTTACGTTATTATATATATACATTTTTTAAGAAATAATAAATAGTATCATATAAGCTCAAAATCGGAAAAAAATAATTTTCTCCTCAATTAGGCCTATCGTTCGAACTATATAATAATTTCCTTCCTTACATCTTTATGTTTATTACAAAGCATATAAAATCACTTTGTTACCTAAGCAAGACACGTATGCGCAAAATCATCTCGAGTTGCTGCTTCGCCCAACCGAAAAACTCGTCGAGCGTTATATGTATAACCTTAACTGTGACTGGATGCGACGTAGCAAGCTTAGAACGGTAGAACAAAGGTATTGACACGACGTCTCATATAACATAGTTTATTCCTTTATTAAATATATTTTTTATTTTAATTCTAATTCTTTATTTTAATCAAATCTAATAAGACGAAAATATTCGACTTTTTTTCTGTCAATTTTTCTCGAATTTTCATCGAAACGAAAAATCTTTTCAGGTTGCGGTAGCATCGCGCCAAAATCCACATGGGGTAAGATCGCAACGACGGGCTACGCCAGTCTCGGCATCCCCTTAACCTTGGTCTATTTATCGAGCGCCGGAGGTCTTTTATCCAGGTGCGCGAGAGGTGTGTTCACGCGTGCTCTTTGCTGCTGCCTTTGTTCAAATTGCGGCTATTGTTGCTACGACGAAAGACGGATGGAGGTAAGCGAAATGGAATTTTCAACTTTTCTTTTTCACCGAGAGATTATTCTTGAAAATTATTCGTTTGATAATTTCTTTTGCTTTTGTTAAAAAAAAAAAAAAAAAAAAAAAAAAAAAAAAAAAAAAAAAAAAAAAAAAAAAAAAAAAAAAAGAGAAATGATGTTTAAATTACATTGGCGCGGGCACAGGAAAAAGAAAGACGGATGAGAAAGAAAAGGCAGCAAGAGGAGTTGGCGCAGCAACAGCAATTGCAGTTGCAGGAACCGTTTTACGTCCGCGCGAACGCGTCAACTTTCACGAGCACGGTGGAAATGAAGAGCAGCCCGAAGGACGAGGTGTCGAGCCTCGGTTCTGGCGACAGACCCAACGTTACTATACTCGCGCCGATCAGTATTTGCCTTGGCGCGATGCTTTGCTACATCGTAGCGGGCGCGTTTACTCTGCACAAGTTAGACGGCTGGTCCTTTGTGGGTACGTGCTGAAACAAATTTCTCTATCCAACCTATAGTGTTCGTATTCCATCCATGACGAAAAGATCTTCCTCATTTTTTCACCGTAACCCTTTCGTTACTGACATATTACATATTATATATAGACCGACTAAAGTCGCCCTCTACATAAATGCCTCCACATACTATAGGCGACTGTAGGCGACTATAGTCTACTCTGCATAAGATGCCGCGTATTGTACACATTTCGAGCGATTGGAGTTACTGTACATCGAGTATCTTTCTCTCGAAACATAACATCGGTATTTTCTTTTTGTTTCTCACGAGATTGCTCGATAATAAAAATCACCAAAAAATAAAAAAATGCTACTGACGATTTTTTTCTCGAGTATTGCGCCCATTTTTGCTCCCGTCGGGTGAGAAATCGTAACGAAAGGGTTAATTACATTAGAAATTTCCTTATCCTGCTGACACGGTGACCATAGACGACGAAATCGAATTTGAAACTCGTAACGATAACAGATTGAATCGATGGTAGCATATTGCGTCGCGACTAAAGTTTGGCGTTTCGTGTTTAGATGCGAGTTACTTCTGCTTCATGAGCCTGAGCACGATCGGGTTCGGTGATATGGTTCCCGGTTCCTATCCCCGCCACACCCTTTACGAATCGAGGAACGTGACCATTTGGTTCTGCTCCTTCTACATAATGTCTGGGATGGCGCTCACGGCGATGTGCTTCAACATTCTCCACGACGAGATCGTTCACAGGCTTAGCCATCAGACGGAGAAACAGGAAACGGTGAAGGCAAGCCCGAGCGTGGACGAGCTCTCCACCGATCCCCTCACCCTTACCTCGTGACAATTTCCGTCTGGCAACTTGTGCCACAGGAACGGCACCGACGAAAACGATATATGCGGAACGGAACCACCGACCAGTTTGTTCGCCCACGAGAACGAGATCAATATCCTCAAGGACACTTTTAATCAGGTGGACGTAACTAGGGACTGCAAGCCGATTTTGAAACTCGAGGATCACGTCCCGCCGATTCCTGGTGTTTACATGTTGCCAAAGGTCGACGAGGAGACCGAGGAAAACACAGAAATGTGAAACGAAATTTCTCTCTTCGTCTCTCGGACGAGCGGATCTTTTCTTGATAAGAAGTAACCAAAGTAAACCTGTCCAACAGGTTTGTTCCAAAGAACAACACGTTTTGCGTTTCCAGGTGGGAAACGCGAACGTGTTTCGAATCGATAGCTACTCTTCATACGTCGTACATATATACATATATATATATATATTATAAATAGAAAATTAATCATCGCAGTGAGATAGTGTACGCTTCGACGAATCGTGGACGAAATTGTGGACGAAAAAATATTTTTTGATTCGATTCACGATTAACACTGATTTTTAAAAAATCGACGAATTTTATGTGATTTTATATATTTTTTTCTTTTCTTTTTTTTTTTCTTTTTTTTTTTTCTGTGAACAAGAACCTATGGGAATTCTTCGGAATCTAAAAACGGGTTTCGTATAAATATATTCGTTCGAAGAATAGATGGTATCGTTTAGCGATCGATGGACTGTCTTCGCGTAGAGAAGTTACCGACAGATCTAACCGATGCAAACAAGTATTTATGCGTACGAGGTACGACATAAATGAGACATACTTTCGTCGTATACGAGGGATGCATCAACTTCAAAGAAAGTACGCTACTATGTTCCGTTGGAACGTCGTTTCCAATATATTAACGAATAAATATTTTATATTATGTTTGAAACAAATGTTCAAATTAAAATTATATATGTTTATTTATTTATTTTCTACTAGTAAATATATACACACATATATTATTTCTAATATTGTCAATTATAAAAATCAATATTGGATCGAAATATGGACCGTTATTTATTAAATTTTACTCGATTTAATAAACAAATCGAATGAAATAATGATAAATAAACACGGTCCAACTCGGCGATATCACGTTAATAAAGACGGTAATTACATTACCGGCAAGTTCTAAATAAGATTTTCCTCTTAGGATGTGTCTCCTAAATGTTCTACGAAGTTTCTAAACTTCCTGTAGATGTTTCTACGTTAATCCTGGTTTACTTTTGATGAACATTTGTTTCCGTATTAATAAAATACGAAATTCGTGTTTTTGTCTAAACAGGAATTTGAATATATACATATATATATATTTTAATTTTTTAATTTAATTTGTTTAACGAAAAAAGCAATATGGCGATCAGAAATACATTCTTTCTTGTTTTGAAATTTATTTTATACGATTTGGAAACGGCGTTCTAACTCGTTACGAGATCAACTCGATATTTCTATGCCTATTTAGATAGAAATTCGTGACAGTTTTTATATTTCTGCATATAATAAACGCTCGAGAGATGAACACATTCTTGTCCATAATGTAATCGAGTGGATTATTGCGTCTAGTCGTATTAAATGGAATATGTATTGTAAATCATCGTGATGAATCGTTTTGAAACGCGTAATAACACTGCCAAAAAATTATTAAAATTATATTGTCCACAAAAATTAACGTAACGTTTTAGAAAAAAATTAATAAGCTTTAACATATAACATATAAGTATTTCAATACACATTTTGTAACAAATGAATTTTTCTAACATAGGATTTTTTTAATATAAACTTTATACCGTATCTGTTTCTTATTGTCCAATTCTTTATTACTCTTTTAATGATAATATTTTGTAACTTCTTCAGAATTAATTATTCTTGATATACAATATGCTACCCATTGGCTAGACGCAGAAATCATGAACAAAAAATCATATTTGAATTCTGTGCTCAAGAACAATAACTAAAATACTGTTACGATTAGACACTAATCTTTAAGAGTGTTGCATATAAAACTACTCACATTGTTTAATATCGATATTCGTGATAGGATACGAGATTATGGAGTGCGTAATGTATAGCTGTAAATTAGCTGTAAAATATTATTTTTGTCGGGTATACAGAGCAGATTTTCTAAAACACGACAAATTTATATTACTCTCTTTTAAATATCAACCGCGTTTCAAAACTTTTTGCGTCAAAATATTGAATCTCTCTCGACGAATAAATATTCACACGTCACATACTCATTCTTTTGTATTTTATATATATTTAATTATATATATTTAATTATATATATTTTATATATATACTTTGCTTAAATCAAATCGAATCAAATACAATATGCATATTTAACAAAACTTATTATTACATTGTAAAGAAACAGTATAAAAAAAAAAAATCTGACTTTCAGAAGATTAAATCAATCGGTCAAACCATCTGCTCTGTACAAACGACAAAAGAACCGCGTGCAGTAGCGACCTAAACAAGTGTTTTTTCCGTTTCTTGTAACATATCATAAGATGTAAGTACGTTAAAACTCCCTTGTATCGCTGAAAAAATAAGAAATGAGAGGATTAAAACGATCGACGAACGAACGATATATATATATATACAAATATATATATCTTGGAAATACGAGTGAATTAAATCGTATGTGAGTTCTGGTTGTGCATTCGAATTCCAAGCGAATTTCGTTAGGTGTCTAATGACAATCGATATCGGCTCGACCAGTTACTAGAATTATCACTCTATCGGTAATGTCGATAGAGGATGGTGGCCAGTAGCCAAAACAAAGTTTACTTTAACGTTTGTACCGGCCCATACACCCATCGATCCAACCTGACCGAGCAAACTTCCTCGCACTACTCGTTCCATTCATTTTGAAAAGGCACACGCGTTTCTCCAAGCTGACGCTTGGACAATTTGTTGCGGAAAACCACTTGTAACTTTCCTTCGATTCACCGTTCACTTTGGATATATTGTCGAACCGATTTTTACGATTTTTATTTACAAGATTTTAGAAGAAGAACAATTTTTCGATTAGATAAAAATTTTTTTCCCTTGACGATAAAACTTGTAACGATAAAATAAGAGAGACTTTGGCGAATAAATATTCGAAGATACGTTCCAAGCAAGAATTTACAGACCAATGTGCCCATTTATATAGATCATACAAAATTTGATGCCAGAATGTAAGGATAAGAATTCGAGTTATTTTTTACGACTCTGCCTAAAAAAAGTATTACGATTATTTCCCGCCTTTCTGAAATTTTATTTCCGAATTGAAAGATAAAGTATATATACGTTTCTTTGTTTGGTAAAAATTCGATTCTGAAATACAAAATGTTTGACGAGTTAATGTAAAGAGAAACCGTTTATTCCGTGCAAAGAACTTCAATGCGAATTCCCATTAGA